GTGCATGGTGAGACATGCGTGTATGGTGAGACATGCGTGTATGGTGAGACATGCGTGTATGGTGAGACATGTGTGTATGGTGAGACATGCGTGTATGGTGAGACATGCGTGTATGGTGAGACATGCGTGTATGGTGAGACATGCTGTATGGTGAGACATGCGTGTATGGTGAGACATGCGTGTATGGTGAGACATGCGTGTATGGTGAGACATGCGTGTATGGTGAGACATGCGTGTATGGTGAGACATGCGTGTATGGTGAGACATGCGTGTATGGTGAGACATGCGTGTATGGTGAGACATGCGTGTATGGTGAGACATGCGTGTATGGTGAGACATGCGTGTATGGTGAGACATGCGTGTATGGTGAGACATGCGTGTATGGTGAGACATGCGTGTATGGTGAGACATGCGTGTATGGTGAGACATGCGTGTATGGTGAGACATGCGTGTATGGTGAGACATGCGTGTATGGTGAGACATGCGTGTATGGTGAGACATGCGTGTATGGTGAGACATGCGTGTATGGTGAGACATGCGTGTATGGGGAGACATGCGTGTATGGTGAGACATGCGTGTATGGTGAGACATGCGTGTATGGTGAGACATGCGTGTATGGTGAGACATGCGTGTATGGTGAGACATGCGTGTATGGTGAGACATGCTGTATGGTGGGGCATGCGTGTACGGTGGGACATGCGTCTATGGTGAGACATGCGTCTATGGTGAGACATGCGTGTATGGTGAGACATGCGTGTATGGTGAGACATGCGTGTATGGTGAGACATGCGTGTATGGTGAGACATGCGTGTATGGTGAGACATGCGTGTATTGTGAGACATGCGTGTATGGTGAGACATGCGTGTATGGTGAGACATGCGTGTATGGTGAGACATGCGTGTATGGTGAGACATGCGTGTATGGTGAGACATGCGTGTATGGTGAGACATGCGTGTATGGGGAGACATGCGTGTATGGTGAGACATGCGTGTATGGTGAGACATGCGTCTATGGTGAGACATGCGTGTATGGTGAGACATGCGTGTATGGTGAGACATGCGTGTATGGTGAGACATGCGTGTATGGTGAGACATGCGTGTATGGTGAGACATGCGTGTATGGTGAGACATGCGTGTATGGTGAGACATGCTGTATGGTGAGGCATGCGTGTACGGTGGGACATGCGTCTATGGTGAGACATGCGTCTATGGTGAGACATGCGTGTATGGTGAGACATGCGTGTATGGTGAGACATGCGTGTATGGTGAGACATGCGTGTATGGTGAGACATGCGTGTATGGTGAGACATGCGTGTATGGTGAGACATGCGTGTATGGTGAGACATGCGTGTATGGTGAGACATGCGTGTATGGTGAGACATGCGTGTATGGTGAGACATGCGTGTATGGTGAGACATGCGTGTATGGTGAGACATGCGTGTATGGGGAGACATGCGTGTATGGTGAGACATGCGTGTATGGTGAGACATGCGTGTATGGGGAGACATGCGTGTATGGTGAGACATGCGTGTATGGTGAGACATGCGTGTATGGTGAGACACGCGTGTATGGTGAGACACGCGTGTATGGTGAGACATGCGTGTATGGTGAGACATGCGTGTATGGTGAGACATGCGTGTATGGTGAGACATGCGTGTATGGTGAGACATGCGTGTATGGTGAGACATGCGTGTATGGTGAGACATGCGTGTATGGTGAGACATGCGTGTATGGTGAGACATGCGTGTATGGTGAGACATGCGTGTATGGTGAGACATGCGTGTATGGTGAGACATGCGTGTACGGTGAGGCATGCGTCTATGGTGAGACATGCGTCTATGGTGAGACATGCGTGTATGGTGAGACATGCGTGTATGGTGAGACATGCGTGTATGGTGAGACATGCGTGTACGGTGAGACATGCGTGTATGGTGAGACATGCGTGCATGGTGAGACATGCGTGCATGGTGAGACATGCGTGTATGGTGAGGCCGTCAACTACAAAAGCAACATCAAACGTCAAGCATCAAAACACAGCGTCAAATGTCACACATAGTAGTAATGTCAAACACTGCATTCTGACGCTTGACGCTCCCCATTGTACGTGGCATAGTAGTTTCGAACTCAACAAAGTTGAGTAATGATGCAAAGCGTGGGAAAAAACATAATTGTTATGACATTTGACGTCCCTAGCGTAAACTGGAGTTGCACTAGCGCATGTTCCCTTCATGCTATATCATGCAAAATGCAGGGCAAAAAAAAGCTAGCAAGCAAACAAAATGATGCAGCTTGTGGTCAAGCTCTGTGCTTTATGCTTAGTTTTAATCAAGGTCCACAGATGCAGTTTGAATAAAATATGGCCCGTTTTTACAACAATTTAACCAGCATGTACAACTGTTAGAGATTTTTAAGTTGAAAAGGAAAGAAAAACACTTTGTGCCCAGGTTCCAAGAATGGACAAGATGTAAATAAAACATGAAAGCGCTAACAAAGGAACAAGTAATAAAATTTCCAACTCTAATTCAGTTTGAAGTACTTTAATTCCAATCCCACTCCACTCTTTCTCATACCCTTCTTGTAGCCGACGTGTGCGGGTCGCAATTGAAGAACCCCTGTGCCGTGGGCACATGCATCAACGATGGCAAGGGCTCCTACTCCTGCATCTGCCCTCCCAACTACATCCCCAGCCGAACGGTTGATGGCTTCCCCACCTGCGACCCAGGTACGGTTGACCGAGGTGTTGCTTGCCCCTTCCGCATTCCCCCAGCTTCCAAAAGGGTCTCTCCTGTCACTCTCTCGTACACTACACTGGGAGCAAGCCCTCCTTCCTCATGCGCTCACTCCTCTTAGCAACAATCCCTTCCTGCCTCGTCCTTCCGCTCCCTCTCTCCCGCGCACATTCCTTGCGTTCTCCTTCCCTCTCCGTCACTCGCTCCCTTCTCTCCAGCCGGCAGCTTAGCCACCACCTTGGCAGTGAGTGGCAGCAACTGGGGCTGCGCTGACGTTTATCCCCTCATGGGCCTCACTCTGGAGCAGTTCACGCAGAAAAACAAGGTAAGGCTCATGGGAGTGAATCGCACACATGGGAAACGAGTCAAAACAAGGTACGCAAGCAGTGAATCGCACGCATGGGAAGGTTGTTGTGAAGTGAGTTGTTGTAGGGCCTCACTCTCCTGGTTCTCACAGGAAAACGCGGTAAGTAGTGACTTGCACAGATGAGAAGCGAGGAGGGTGGAAATGATGGGAGGTATTTTTTGCTGGTTCTTTGAAAGATTTGGCAGCTGCTGTTTTGTTTTCTCGTTCTCCATGTAAGGAAGTATGAGGGGACAGAACAGTAGGGAGGAAAGGATTTGTGTGAAAGGCAATTTGCTGGAGTGAGTGGCAATCTGCTGGAGTGAGTGGCAATCTGCTGGAGTGAGAGGCAATCTGGTGGAGTGAGAGGCAATCTGGTGGAGTGAGAGGCAATCTGGTGGAGTGAGTGGCAATCTGCTGGAGTGAGTGGCAATCTGGTGGAGTGAGTGGCAATCTACTGGAGTGAGTGGCAATCTGGTGGAGTGAGAGGCAATCTGGTGGAGTGAGTGGCAATCTGCTGGAGTGAGTGGCAATCTGGTGGAGTGAGTGGCAATCTGGTGGAGTGAGTGGCAATCTGCTGGAGTGAGTGGCAATCTGCTGGAGTGAGAGGCAATCTGGTGGAGTGAGTGGCAATCTGCTGGAGTGAGTGGCAATCTGCTGGAGTGAGAGGCAATCTGGTGGAGTGAGAGGCAATCTGGTGGAGTGAGTGGCAATCTGCTGGAGTGAGTGGCAATCTGGTGGAGTGAGTGGCAATCTGCTGGAGTGAGTGGCAATCTGCTGGAGTGAGTGGCAATCTGCTGGAGTGAGAGGCAATCTGGTGGAGTGAGAGGCAATCTGGTGGAGTGAGTGGCAATCTGCTGGAGTGAGTGGCAATCTGGTGGAGTGAGTGGCAATCTGCTGGAGTGAGTGGCAATCTGTTGGAGCTTGTTTGGCATGCCATGGTTACACAGTATGCTTGCATTGAAAAGCCTCAGGCTTGTGTCATGTATTTGCCCCTTGCAGGGTCTGGACTGCTCGAAGCCGCTGAAGTTGAATTCGGTGCTCCAGCTTGCTGGTTCTCCTGCCATCCCCTGCACTGCCTTCTTCTACGTGCTTGCTGTGAGCTCTCGGGTTTGCGTCGATGTTGAAATTGGAAATTCAGGTATCTTTACTGGTTGCTGCGGTAACACATCGTATGGGCGCATTGGTAGCATGGGACCTATATGGACTAAGAACGGTCTTTGTGTGTTGCCAGGACGAATTGGGATCACATAAGGGGGATCACATAGGCAACACATAGGGATCATGGGAAGGCCTACAGGTATGGGTGTGGGTTGGAGGGTGCGGGCAAACTCAATCACTGAAGCGAAACGCCGTCAGGTTGAATTGGCTAGCAGAGGCTGTGACATGCTACATAAATGGGTACTTCCTGATGCTCACACAAGATTGCCTCTTCCCCTACTGCCTGCCTCAACAAACCAGGCGAGGTGGGTTTTCGCATCACATCCCTTCTACCCATTTTGCAACTTGGACGGGGCAATTAGTGAGTCATTTCTCAACTCCTCTCCCCCGTTGTTGAACCTGCCAGGGCGACACGTGTGATTCCATCGCCTCCTACCTCAACCGATCCCCGTTGGACCTCCTCAACCTCAACCCCGGGCTGAGCTGCGAGCAGGGCATCAAGGCGGGCCGCTCCGTGTGCGTTGAGCGCAACCCCTCATTCGCCTTCACCGTCCCACAGTGTCTCAAATACACGACGCTCACAGCAGAGGAATCATGCGAGGTCCTTCTGGATAGGGCAGGCGGATATAGGGGCGTGGGGGCATCTGCTTGGGATGAGCTCTACCGCAACAACCCCGGCCTTGTCTGCTCCGGCGCCCTCCCTCCCTCTGCCTCTGCTGCTGGCAGCAAGGCTGGTTTGCAGGTGAGCGGTGGGAGGGGTGGTTAGGGACTCGTGGAAAGGAGTCAAAGTGGGAGAGCCAGGTGGAGAGTTGAAATGCAGAGGTACTGGCGAGTGGGGGGCTGAATTTGCAGGTTTGCACAGGTGAATTTGTGATGCTAAGATATCAAAAGCTTCTTCCAAATTTTTGAAGTGTAATTCTTTCTTGAAATTTCACATGCCCCGGTAATGAATCACGGCATCGTGATTGGCCTTTTGGTATCCCACTCGCGTGAGCTTCCATGCCTCACATGCTTGTGAGGATGACTTCCCGTGTCCCTTATGGTATTTGTCTTCAACGCTTTGAGGTCGTGGTGCCATCATTTTGGTCATTTTGTACCGATCGGTTTCATTTTAAGAAACTTGTTTTATCAGAACCTGATTCCAGAGACACCCACTCAGTTCTTACAGGTGTAACGGACCCAACTTTAGAACCCAGGGGCTACTGCTATAGTGGTCGTTCTCATGTTTTTCTCATCCGATCTTGCATGTGGTTTTCTTTACATCTGATCTTGCTTGAACGCACCTAGCATTCAACCCCTCGCTTTCTCCCTTCTTGATACAAGTGCCATCCAGCATCTTGCTTTTGTCAAACTTCACATCGCCTGTCATTCTCTCTCCTCTCTCTTTCTGCCTCCTGTCCCCTTCCTCTCCTCCCACTACGTCTTTCTACCCCAGGTGTGTCTCAAGGCGGAGTACTGGCCATTTACACTTGGAAGGTGCATCAAGGGCCGGGCCAAGTCGGTGTCTCCATCGCTGTCATGTTCAGGCGCTTATACTTTCTATGCAGTCCCCGCGAGCGCTGCAGCTGCCAAATTCTCAGAGTACAACGGGAAGGCGTGTGCGAGCAACGTTGGAGCCAAATTTATTTGTGTGCCACGCTAGGGAAAATTTTACCAATGGGATACCCTGATAATCAGGGTGGATTTTGAATGTCGGTCCGTTGGCCAGGGAATATCTTAGCGGGGAGGGGCAGGTTTTCCTTCATCTGTCAAAGTTTCCATATTTGGCACATTTGTCTAACCATGTGTTTCCAATTGGAGCAGAAAAATGTTGCCTAGTATTGCAGCTTAGGGTGTTGCGGTTGGAAATAGTTAAGTTTTTTTAATAAGTGGCGAACTCCTCCCGCAACCACTTTTGAATGGCGCCTGTCAATATGGGATCATAATGTGCGCGAGGTCAGGTTGTAGAACTTTCTGTACGGTCTCTACGGTAAACTTCGTTTATTCACGGTGAAAAACGGTAAACTTTGGAAAACGCTTCCCACCGTGTGAAACCATCCTGAGCCATGATGCACAAACTGTAAATGGGTCTGACGAGTTGTACTGCCTAACGTCGCCCTAAATTTACAAAAGAGATGATAGTGGCAGGGCAGTATCGAGGACGCTGACACACCATCCATGTATCACAACACCATATTACAAGCGGCGAGTCGCCGTGACTGAAATCAATTCGAGCACCGATACCAGCGCCTCTCGGTGCGCCAGCAGCGCGATGCGCCGCTTCCGACGGCACTGGGACACGTCAGTACATCTCAGAAAAGAACATTCGTCAGAAGTCCGACGTGCTCTATTAGTAGTTCTAGTAGTTGTTGTAGTAGTGATTGTAGTAGTAGCCGTACTAGCCAGTGAAGATGATCATGGTGCTGACGCCGCTTCTGCTCCTTCCAGTGATGTTATGCCTCGTGACCGTGTCTTTTCCCAGCCGCACAGCTGCAGTTACCCTCCACCCCTCTCAAGGTAGTACCTCGATGTGCTATGTTCTGTCGCTTTTCCCGATGTTAGGAGAATTCTTCGGAGCAGCGCTGTATGGTGCCGTATTCTGCCGTATTCTTTGGAGAACTCTCTTAGTTCCCTCAGAATTTGCTAAGTGTTTCTGACTTTTAAGTTTTTACCATATGGTTCTCGCAAAGTCAAACTTTGAGGCATCGCTAGGTCACAGTTGCGTCAAACCTCCCCCCTATAAGATTCCTCTCAGATTTTAGCGTTCCCACATCGTTGCTGGCTTCCCTCTGTTATTTAACTCGTCCGTCTTTTCTGGCTACTCTCTCTCCCCATGTCTTTTATTCCCCTGACATCCATACCGTCGACTCGACCTCATGGCTCACATGCCCGCACCCCATCTGCTTGCGCATTCTTAAACCTCTGCCACATTCGCACCCCCCGCTACAGTCCCAGCTCTGGTTGATTGCCAGAAGGAGTGGGGCGTGACGATGGAGGGGTGGGCGGAAGGAGGCGAGTGCACGGAGGAGCAGGCGTACATAGACCAGAACTTTGGCGGCTTTCCAATGCCCAACTGGGATAAGCCCAGTGGCATCTTGTGTGACGGGGACGGCATGGTTACCATCATGTGAGCGAGTGACCGGATGGTATGTATGGTGATCGTACTGTGAGGAGCTCGCCTGGTGATGATGCTTACCTCTCAACATGCTACCATGACGAATGCTGACATGCACTGTGGGCCCTTCTTCGGGGCATCACGCCATGAGTAGTAGTAGTAGGCACTAGGGCGCTAGTAGGTAGTAGGTAGTAGGTAGTAGGGCGCTAGTAGGTAGTAGGTAGTAGGTAGAAGGTAGCAGATAGTAGGTAGGTGGTTTTTGGTAGCATAACGCCACACAATACATCACCTTGTGCTTGTCCGCCTTTGCCCATCCCCCACGGTCCACTCCCTGCCTGCCAGGCACATGACGGGAGAGGGGCTCCGGGGATCCATACCCGCCTCCATTGGCTCCCTCATCAGTCTCTCCTACCTGTGCGTTTCGCCTTGGGCAATACTCTCCCCTCTTCTCCTCCTCATGGCCGAGAGGAGACTACTACACCCTGTGCGTGACACTACCTTCGCAGTGCTGCATCATAAGTCATGAATGCCGGCATCGCTGGGTGCCCAATTACTCTTGAACATTCTCAGGAGTAGTACTCTTTTCACCGTGGCATGGCATGGCATGGCAGCATCATATTGGACGGGAAACGTCACCACCTGTTGCCCATCACGCCAGGCGGGAAACCTCATCACGTGTCTCCAATCACTTGTTTCGAGACGTCTCAAAACGCAATCACGTGTCCCTGTATCCTCATATATGGCCGCCTTGTTGTATTGTATCCATCCCTCTGTACCTACCCGTGCCGTGCGCAGGGAACTGGATAGAAATTGGCTCAGAGGAACCATTCCCGCGACTCTCGCACAGCTCACCAGTCTCTATGTTCTGTCAGTGCCCACACTCACATTGCATGCTCCGATTCTGCTGCTCTGTCTGATCTGAGGCTCCGAGCTCGTCGTGTCAGTCTGTCTGTCGCACCAGTCTCGAGTGCTCGATCTGATAGTTACTTACCAGTAACATGCTGCTGTGTCAGTCAGTCAATCAGGCAGGCAGGCAGGCAGGCAGTCAGTCAGTCAGTCAGTCAGTCAGTCAGTCAGTCAGTCAGTCGGTCAATTAGCCAGTCAGTGACGCATTGGTGCCACTAATAGTACGGCAGCACCAACACTAGCACACCTCACTGTGCTCGCAGCTGTGGGCTGGGCTGGGCTGGCTGGAAGGGACGTGTCAAAGCAAAGAAGGACTCACTACTCCCCTCTCATCATGTGGCTGTCGTTTCACTCTGTCAGGACACTCGAGGGCAACTTGCTTACTGGCCTTCCGAACAACCTTGGCAGCGGTCTCGATCGTTTGAGCCTCATGTGAGTATCTCGCCCATCAGTGCATTGCAAAGACGCGCACGCATGCACATGCTTTAGTGCATGTTATCCCTTGTAGGTCGATCATGTGTGCTGGTGGTTGCTGGTTGGTCCGTCTGCCCACCTTAAGCATGTGATGTCTCAGCATACCGCTACCGTTGGTGCAGACGTGCCTTTTCGCATAGCAGAATCGTGGTCCTCCACATGCAGTGCAGAATTGAGTTGCTGTGCTGTTTGGTTCAAGTGCACTGCTCTTACCTCACTTTTGTGTGTGTGCGCTGTGTGTGTGTGTGTGTCTTTGTGTGATGTCTAACAATGTGCTTTCAAAACGTGGCACTCTGCTGTGATGTCAAACCAACATGGATTCGCGTGCAAGCTCGCATGCAACGCACTCTGCTGATTCTCCATGTGTGAATAATGCTCCCGGTTTTCCAGAATCCAGGCCGTTCCTTGATACCATCAATGGCCTGGTTTGGCAGGAATCTGCGGAGCAACTCGCTCACTGGCAGCATTCCTGACTCGGTCAGCAACATGGCAGTACTGTCTAATCTGTATGCAACAGCACTCACTCACGCACCTGACCTGATTTCCCTCACGTACCTGACCTGATTTCACTCACGCACCTGCATTCCCTTTCCATCCCCCCTCCCAACACACACCCATTCTCGCACCTGGCACACCCCAAGACACCCACGCTCCCATGTATGCATGCACGCATTGATGTGCACACGTACGTCATAATCCATGATCCCTTTCCACACTCCCCCACCCCACCAACCCTCTACCTTGAAACGATTTTTGAGGCACCTCCAGAGACGACACACCCATGTATGCATGCACACACGTGACACGCAAACATACTTCCACTCACTGTCTCTCCCTCGCTATGCACGCGCCCTCTATGCATGAAATACACTCCTTCATTCAGCTAACGTTCAGTTCAGCTTTCCATACATTCTTTCAACCGTTCCCCCACAAATCAGCAACTCATCCAATGTCATCTCTCTGACATGTCACCGTTCAGAGACATGTCATACAACAGGCTCTCTGGCCCCGTGGAACAGGTGTTCTCTGTTCCCCTTCTCCAGCAACTGTGAGTTCCGAGGCGCCTCTCCTCACCTCAAGAGTGTTCAATGCTCTTCAGCACGTGTGGTGAGCACTGTCATGCGGTCTTGCCGACCATTTCTCTGAGTTTTGAGACGTCCCAAAAGCCATGTGGTGAGCACTGTCATGCATTGTGTGGGGGGATCCACATAACTGTCATCCTTCGTTCAACGCTCCTGCTCTAGCTGCAATCATGCAGGTGGCGCTCCCATCCCCATCAGGTTTTTACTTGCTG